TCCGCAAACATTGATCAAATCAAACCCTACTATGATCGTAATAAAATGCAAATTTTCAGATCTTTTGCAGGATCCGGCACGGCAGACACCGCAGGCACAAGCTCCAGAGGTGGAAACAACGACAAGTACAAGGGCAAGCCATTAAGAGGCAGGAGCAAGTGAAAAGAAAGTTTCCCCGCGGGAAAATTGAAGGTAAAGAAAAAAAAGAAGCCGTTCCACCGTCCAGAAAAGAGAGCTCACGAACACCCCCAGAATGAAGAAGGGAGAAGGACGACGTATGCAAAGAGAGCCAGGAGAAATGACGGCAACTATAACCCGGCTCTCTAAAACGGAAGATCTACTCATCCGACAGGACTCTCCGCAGCAAATGTCGCCGAACTGCGGAAGGGCCATCAGCGGCGGAGGAAAAGTTACAAGGAAAATTTGAACGGCCAGCAACGAGGTCCAAGCAGGAACACGAAAGAAGAAGTTTCCCGGTTCCGCCAAGACCAGCTGCCATCAAACGGCCAAGACCACAAGGCAGAGGCGAAAAAAAGAAGGTATTCAAGGGTGACCGAACTGGTGAAAAAAAGAAAGCTTCTAGAGGAAGGCACTGAAGGGCGAGCCCGTACAAGAAGGAGGATAAATCAAACGAGAATCTGCGCTACCTTTCCAAGACTGGGCCCAGAAAAGAATGTCCGAATATCACAAAGATAAGTAAAATTTTATGTTACTTTGCAAACTTAAGTTAATCTTTCATTCTTACTGCAAGTGGCAGATTTCAAGAAGTTTTACCTCATGCGAGGTCTACCTTTATCGCCAAAAGGGCGAGAAATGAGTTGTTACCGATTTTGGTATTATGTTTTTCAATTACTCGCGCGTAAAACTAAAGTTGATGTATAATAGAATGTGTAAAGACTTAAATATTGTAAAAAGTTATTGTATAAATTTTATTTAAAACATTCTGGCAAGAAAGAAGTTTTAGTCTGAAAGACTTTTTGAAATGTAGTATTTCAATGTAGAAAGAATTGGCACTTGCTTTGAAAAGAATAGAAGTTAACAATGTACTAACTAATGTATGTTTTCAAATGTGTAAAATTAACGGCATGTTAATATGTTCTTATATACAATGTGAACTGTTATTTTAAATGTTAAGAAATACCGTGATATGGTAAAAGTGAAAGTAATGTTAAAAATTTTTTTTATTCGTGTGACTGTAAAAAGACTAAATCATGGTGAATATGTGTTAAAGGTTGAATGAATGTAGTTAGGCTCTCTGACGCTACACTTCAGAGTTAGCCACTTTCAGAATAGTACCTCAGGGTTTAGAGTTGAAATTAGGGTGTGTGTTACGAGGTCTTGGTATGTTGAATTTTAACACGTTAGTGTTTTGATTGTAGGTAGGAGGAAGTGTTGAACACGTAGACAGAAACACATTCGTGTGTTTGGTGTTCTTTTACAACACATGTCAGAGAGCACGGGGAGAGATAATTAAAATAGTCATGAATGAAATAAGAATGTTAAGAGAAATATAATTATACATGTTACTTGCCATTTCATTGTGTAACATTTCATTAAACTAGTTTTCCTTCCAGATCTCTGGAAGGAACCAGATTTGAATAAAAGCTCCTGTTTAGATGCAGTACAGATGAAAAAAATTGCGTATGTCCTGGGAGCTGCTATTGTAAAAAAACAAATTTCTTTCTTTTAAATTTCTAGTTTCTAGCGAAAAATGTTTGTAAAAGATTGGCCTCGCGTTAGATTCTAGAGCTAAAAGTTTTCAACAAGGTCGTTTTAGACCTCAGTTTCAAACTAATTAACTCTGGCGGGAAGTATGTAAGGATCTTAAGTTTTACTAACGTTTATTTTATTTTAAATCTTTACTATCACTTCTTATTTTCTACTTCCGGCCAGAATTATAAGCGTTAACTTATTTATGCAAAGTTTGTCTGGCGAACGCCAAGTATTTAAGTTGTGGCTTTTTGCCAAGCGAGAGAGAGGAAGCAGTTAGTCGAAGCAGGCCGCTTACCTTAGAAGTTTTACTCAGTTGCTGGTTGCCTTCCAGGCCAGAGGTTTTAATCCTCTTGATAATTTTTAAACGTATTGTAGTGTTCACAGTTCTCTGTACTACATACGGCTTCCTGTTAATATAAGGCCAATCTTCCACGTTTATTATTTTAAAGTTAAATTAGAGTTTAGTTTTATATTTTTACGTTTAGACCACAAGTAGTGGGTCTTTGTATTCCGAAGTACGGAAGTTATTGTAAATAGAGAAAAATAAAGGGTTTTGTATACCCTTCTTGTGTATCCTGTCTACTTCCCACAGTTATTGAACATAGCTTTAGTAAGCTCTCTGTTCCGAGTCAGGTCCTTGCATGTTCCCGAAGAAAGTAAGACGGAACATTGAAGATGACAAGGAAAACAGTAAAAAGACGTCAAAATATTTACGTGCATTGATTGAGATTATTGACAATGTATACACTTTGACTTTCTACCTTTATCTAACTCTACAATATATACCACAGAGTCAAATTTGATACAGTTTTCACTGTCTCAATGCTTAATCCACATTTTTGAGGACATTGACAGCATATTGTTTATAACAGAAGTTACTCTTTCAACAAGTATTGTATTTCATGGATTCCTGGAAAGACTAACTCTATAATTTGGTACAAAAATTTTGAAAATCACGGCTACTTTTGTCCATTTCCATACAGTTCTGCGTATACCTATTTATGAGACACAAGAATGTTCTCTTTATTCCAGTTATTCAGCTGCCTTATAATTTTTTTTATAATTCTTTGAATACTGTAAATATCAGTACTAATCAAACAACCCAAATCTATTATTTTTCGGACAATCATTATACTGAGTTTTTGTAAGAGGTTATGAACAAAAATTAAAGATTAAAAACTATCATTTTACATAGTAAAAGCATGCATACAACTTTTGTTGGAAAAGGTATATACAGTTATCATCTTTTTTACTAAGAGCAGAAAATAATTGGGAATTGGGGAAAAAAAAAAAAAAAAGAAAAAAAAGAAAAAGAAACGGAACTGTCTTGTTCGAAACGCACGGGTTTCTATGTCGCAGTGGCCAATCGCACCGACGGTGCGAATAGCTAACAGGCTATTCACACCACCTACGTTCGCGCATGTGCACAATCAGCCCAGGTACCAGCATTTTACGCCGATTTCCGTAAGGCAGGCGGTAGTGAGAGCGAATGTTGTTAATAGTTCATCAGCAAAAGAATAATTTGTAAGTAATAATTATCAGTTACAAAGACGAGGTCAATCTGTATACATGATAATGTCCAGGAAATGATTAGATAAAATAGGGATTTAATGATGAGTCTAATTGCAAGCGAGGACGAGTAAATAGTTGAAAAATCTTTAGTGTATTGACAAAAAGGCTACAGAAATTACTTAAATTCTATTTAACAGAGGAATTTTTATGCAAACTTAGACCCTATTCTTATAGCATAGGACTGTCAGAATTTATTATTCAATAAGAAAACTTACTGAAAATGATAATATTCTTATATATTCATCACTTTTTCAGTATCCACACAGGTCACAGGTTCAAATGCCATATTTCAAAATCAAAGTTATTTATGAAATAAAACCTTACAAAACCTGATAAATCATTTGTGTGTGCAAATGTTTAAATATAAATCTCTTACATTAAATTATTTCTGTCTTTTAAATTACATCCCATTATTTATTTCAATTTAATTGATGAATGTGTTTGTACTCGTCATCTCGCTCTTGTTCTTCGGCAATTTCGTCATAATTTATTAAGGCGATTTCTTCTATTCTGGATAATGTATCCGCTACTACGTTATTCCCTCCTGTAATGTACCTAATGTCTGTTGTAAATTCTGAAATGTATTGGAGTTGCCTAATTTGTCTTGGAGATGCTTTATCTGTTTTTTGTGAAAATGCATATATTAAGGGTTTGTGTTCAGTATACACTATGAATTTTCATCCTTCCAATAAATGTCTGAAATATTTAATGGAAAGATAAATTGCGAGGTGTTCACGATCATATGTACTGCAATTTTGCTATGTAGCGTTTAGTTTCTTGTAAAAAAATACGATTGGTTTCCAACTACCATTTTCAAGTTGTTGTAAAACTGAACCGACTGCTGAATCCGAAGCATCTGTGCACAACGAAAAAGGTAAGTCTGGATCGGGGTGACAGAGAAGAGCAACATTTGCTATAGCTTGTTTACATTCTTCAAATTTCTCAATTGCCTCCTCCGTCCAAGTTATTTTCCGATTATCTCTCTTCTTTGCACCTCTTTAGCCGTGTAAAACAGCTTGAGTACTAGCTGCGTTTTTCCAGAAACGACGGTAGAAATTAATGATTCCGAGAAAGGTTCGTAGTTGATGAACAGTGTCAGGCAATTTACATTCAGAATAGCTTTTACTTTGTCGGTAAGAGGTTTTGATCCCTCAGGTGTAATTAGAAAGCCTAAAAATTCCAATTCACTGACTCCAAAAACAGATTTAGAAATATTAAGTTTCAATCCATATTTTTGTAATCTATCAAAAACCAATTTTAAATGCTTTTTGTGTTCCTGTTCATTATTTGACGCAATTAAAACATCATCCAAATATGCAAAAATAAAATTTAGTCCTCTAAATACTTTATTAATAAATTTTTGAAAGGTAGAAGGGGAGTTATGCAACTCAAAACTCATGACGCTAAGTTCATATAGTCCGAAAGGAGTTATAATGGCAGTGTTTGGCTTATCATTTTCATGAATAGGAATTTGAAAATATGCTTTATGCAAATCAATTTTAGAAAATATTCGAGTATTTTTAAGATGTGGTTGAAATCTTCTAATCGGGGTATAGGATAACGATCTGGTATTGTTTGTGCATTCAAACGTCAATAATCCCCGCAAGGTTGAAAAGAACCATCTTTTTTTGGAACCATATGATAAGGACTGGCCCATTGTGATTTAGAAGGACGAATAATATCATTTTCTAACATATATTGGAATTCCTGTTTTGCTATTTGTAATCGTTTGGGATCCAGTTGTCTAGCTCTGGTGTAAACATAAATTGCGGTTGTCCTCTAGTTGTAATATAATGCTCAACACCATGCTTAAATGTTGATACTGATAAATTCGGTTTTGTTAAATCTGGATATTGTGGTAACAAATTAGCGTATTTAGAATTTTTATCTAGAGTACTAATAGCATGATCAGAAAACACTGTTGTTACATTACTTCGAACAGATAGGTTAATTATTCCATCAATTAATTTCTTATTGTGAATGTCAACTAAAAGTTTAAATTTATTTAGAAAATCAGCTCCTATAATAGCTTTATCAACTTTAGCTAATATAAACGGAAATTGAAATTCTCTTCTAAGTCCTAAATTTAAAGTTAAAATTTTAATTCCATAAGTAGGAATTTCCGTTCCATTAGCTGCATATAATTTAAAATCATCTACTTTTGTAGTACATTTAGTCGCAGGAATGAGACTAACATCAGCACCTGAATCTACTAAGAACCGCATTCCTGTGTTTTTGTTTTCACAAATAAACGAAACTTGCGGCTGTCGTTGATACCAGCAACAGTAGTAGCCACTAATCCTATTGCCGTATGCGGTTTTCCGACTTCTTAGGCCAAGCGCATGGCGAATAACATTTCTCAGGTCAACAACGATTACCAAACTTAAAATGAAAAAAAAACAATATTTACCTTTCAGATTAAATCTCCTTTTCGAACGGCCACGACTCCGAGATGTATTCCGGTGATGATATCTAAGGTCTAGAACGATTACTTATTTGCATTGAGTCAATTTTTTGTTCTAAGGCAGCTATTCTTGCAAATACAACATCATTAACGTTTGGCGAAACAGCAAAAATTTCTTTTCCAGACTTCATATCATGAATTTTGTCAGCCATCATGGACAATTTCTCTAAATTTTCGTCACCTACGAGAAGAATATTCTTTATAAAATCAGGCATCTTATCCAACCATAAGGATTTTAGAACTTTTTCAAGAAAATCATCTGCGGCTAAACTTTTCATCTGCAGCAAAAGTTGACTTGGTTTATAATCTCCGAGACCTAATCCACTTATCAAACGCTGAATTCGCTTATTTTCACTTTCTTTGAAAACATTTAAAAGTCTTTATTTAGCCATAGAATATTTATTAGGCTTAGCGTCTTTAATAATGTCCCATATACACTGACTACCAATAAGTATTTGGACACCTATGCAAATGACGATATCTGCGGTCCTAAGGTACGTCACGGACTCCGCCGGTATATATCGTGTAGGAAACAGCATCGGCTTTAGTTGCATGCAAGATGCCTTGCAGTTCGGAGCTCTCTGATTTCGAGAAAGGTATAATTATCGGGTATCACAGATGTGGCCGATCCTTAAGGGACATATCTAGGCATCTGAAGTACCCAAAATCGACAGTGGCCTATGTAATTAAGAAGTGGAAGGTGAGCGGTGATTGTCGGAATGTGCCCAGAGTCGGCAGACCAACGAAACTGGGAGATAGAGACCGACGAGTGCTGTTCAGAGAAATTCGGAAGAACCGCACCCAACCGATGGCCCTTACCCGCGAGGAGTTTCAACAGGCATCCGGGAGTATTGTTTCAATGAATACCATCCGTAAGGAGGCACATCTGCTTGTTTTCATGGTCGTGCTGCTGCCCATAAGCCTTTGATCACAAAGTCCAACCGCGCTGCTCGGTTAATGTGGTGCAAAGCATATCGAAATTTGACCGTAGATCAGTGGAAACGGGTTCTTTGGAGTGACGAATCAAGGTTCACCCTTTACCGTTCGGACGGCAGGCCTGGGTCTGGCGTCTACCTGGAGAACGTCTGCTGCCAAAATACATTGTGCCAACAGTCAAGTTCGGCGGAGGTTGAATTATGGTCTGGGGGTGTTTCTCCTAATATGGGCTGGGACCCTTGGTCCCCATTCATGGTAACCTCAACTCCGATGCCTACTGCACTATTTTGGATGACAATGTGCTTCCTACGTTGTGGCAGTTTTACGGGTTGGACCCCTGTTACTTTCAGGACGACAATGCCAGTTGTCATGTTTTGACGTTAACCAAAGGTTGGTATGGTGCCAATGGAGTTCATCAAATGGACTGGCCTGCCCAGAGTCCAGACCTGAAACCTATCGAGAACCTCTGAGACGAGTTGCATCGCCGAATTCAGGGGTGCACTACCCGTGCAAAATCGGTGAAGGAACTTCTATGTCTTCTCCAAGCCGAGTGGAAGAAAATACCACTAGCTGTCATAAGTATGCCTCGGAGGGTCCACGCTGTAATTACCTCTTGTGGAGGCTCTACCAACTATTGATTTTGAATAAAGTTAGTTTTTCTTTTCTATCACAGGTGTCCAAATACTTATTTGTAGTCAGTGTATTTTCAACATACTTCGGTTCAAGCTGGGATATCAAATAGTTAAATTTAGTCTCTTCAGTCGTGATTTTATTTATTTCAAATTGGGCTTCCACTTGGAAAAACCAAATGTCGGGTTTTTCACGCCAAAACGGTAGAATTTTAATGCTTACTTTATTCGCTTCTGTTACTTTTTCTGTAGTCATGTTAAATAAACAAGTCGAACGCTCCTGAGTCACCAAATATAACAAATATAAACAGTACGCCTTTATGGATCTTCAGTTGGTACAATATAATACAATGCAAATAAATTCTTACTATAAAATAAAAAAATTACCATATCAACATCAAATATAATTTTTTATTCACCAGCTCAGTAGTCAAAAATCTCATCTTCTGTATTTTTAATAAACAAATCGAATTCTAAAGATTAAAAACTGTTACCAAAACGATAATACAATAATATGCAAAGTAAACATTTATAATTATTAAAATATTATGAGTATTAAAATATTGTGAGTTACTTTCAAACTAATTATTTATATTTTATGCCGTTACAAACCCATTTTCCTTTCTAAACTTTCTAAACTTTTGAAAATCGCCAACGCTTAAAAAATGATAAACTACGCCAAGGTTACGCCCGACTTTTTTTTAAAAAAAGATTCACTACAGCGATTAGCGATTATCTAAAGTGATAATATTTGTAATGTGTGGGTTCCATGTAAGAGATTTAGTGAGGATCACCCCAAGAAAAGGGACCTGCTTGACGCAGGGAATGCTTTCTCCATACATCTGCAGGCAGACTGGAAATTTCTTTTTTGTTGTAAACAATATAGCATATGTTTTCTCAACATTAACCTTAATTCTCCACTTGACAAGCAAAGCCTCTAATGCCTGGATATGTTCTTGTAAGTGTTGTATAGCTGAACCAACAAATACTCTTTGTGTAAGGATCGCAGTGTCGTCTGCATACATTGCGAGTGTCGTGTTGGGTGTAGTGGGTATGTCGTTCAAATAAATGTTGAATAGAGTGGGGCCCAAAAGGGACCCTTGTGGTACGCCAGCCCTTATATGGCGGCTGCTGGATAATGTGCCAGAAACGTGAACGACAAAGTGTCTACCCGTTAGGTAGGATTTGATAGGAGTGATGTAGGAGTTAGGTAGGAGTGATGTAGCCTGGTAACCCCAGGTTGTATAACTTGTATGTGAGGGCATCTAGCCACACACGGTCGAAGGCCTTAGCAATGTCTAGAAACAGACCTCCAGTCACTCTGCTTCTTTGTAAGCCATCACTGATCATCTCCACAACTCTATAAACCTGGTGGGTGGTTGAGTGTTTCTGACGAAAACCGAATTGGTATGGAATGATGACCTTATGCTCCTCCAGATATTTATTCAATCTGCTCATTATAATTGCCTCCATTAGTTTACTGACAGAGCTCCGGAGACTGATGGGACGAAAGTACTCAGGTGCAGTGGCTGGTTTGTGAGGTTTCAAAATGATCAAAATTCTTGATCATCTGATTGGAAATACCATCCAACCCAGGGCTCTTTTTCCTTCTTAGCCTTTTGATGTAACTGCAGACCTCCGACGGCATGACTAAGATTATGTTGTCGGTGTATGAGCTTGTTGTGTAATTGTGATGAAACTCAGCAATAAGCTGATCTGTGTTGTTGTCTGAAATGTTGTTCATACAGAACTGAGATTCCTGATGCTGCGCTAGAAGTTCTGCCTTCTCAGCTTCAAGGTAGTGGATCCCTTGAGGCCCGTTAAGGGGCGGTATGGACTTGTAGCATTTTTTATACCTTTTCACAGCTTTCCATAATGAGCTATCCTCACAGGAAAGTGATCCCAGGTAGCTGGTCCAGTGATCTTGTGCAAGTTTGTTTGTTAGAGACTTGACTGCCTCACACAGTTGGTTGAAGTGCCGTTTGTCTTGTGGGTGCCTTGTTCTCTGGTATTGCCTTCTGGCTGCATTCCTTTGTTTTAACAATAGACGTAACTCTAATGGTTTGAAGGCTTTCTCAGGTTTTTAACCTCTATCCTTGCTTTCTCATAAGCAGATTGAACTTGGCAGGTGAATTCCTTAACCAAACTATCAATGTCATCCCCCGAATGTATCGTTGGAATCGTGTACTGAATGTTGGTTAGAGCTTTGGCAAAAATTTGCCAGTCGGTGCGAAAGGCTCTTCTGTCTGTTGTAGTAAAACTGCTGAGGTCCAGAATAATTCTGACCGGATTATGATCAGATGACAATTCATCCAGCACAGAAACATCCAGCGGACTGCTGGTGTTTCTGAGCAGGAAGAAGTCAATTATTGCAGCTGACCCAGCAGCATACCGTGTTGGGGTTTTTGGAACTGCTATATTAAATCGAGCCGAACCGGCTAAACTGTAAATTAATTTGCCTGTAGCATTTGAGGTGTAACAGTTCCACGCGCGGTGTCGTGCATTTAAGTCTCCACCTATGACAATATGTGTTCCAAGTGTCAGTAACGTCTCAAGGTCTGCCTGAACAGCAGCCACTGGTTTCATTGGTGGTATATAGGTGGAAACAAACGTGTATGTTATGTTAGTGTCTGTTGTGATGCAGATAGCTGTGGCCTCAACGACCGAAAGCTGTGGTATTGTTACATGATTATGGGGGATGCAGCGTTTGATAAGGAGCGCTGTTCCTCCTCCTCTTGGTCGTAAAGCATTGGCACTTCTATTAGATCTGTAGGTGCTATAATTCGCAACATTAATTGGTATTTTTGGGTCAAGCTTGTGTTCCTGTAGGAAAAGTAAGTCGGGGGCGTGCTCATTTACAAACTCCCTGAGTTCATTGATTTTACGATACAATCCGTTCGCATTCCAAGTAATTATGTTTAAATATCTATATACAGTACAATTCATAATTAAGCAGTTAAAGAAGAACTGAAAACATCATCTAACACGTTAAACAAGATGAACAGTTTATCAATAGTGTTCTCCGTTGCCCCCTTAACTCAGGCATTACTGCGGAGATTTTTTTGCTAAAACAGTAACAAAGGAAGTTCCTTTGAACATGTCAAAAATTTCTTTAAACACTTTAAAAATATCCGTAAAAGCATTAACATTGCTGCTACTTGCAGCCACATCAGTCCTGTTGTTATTTACAGTCCTA